TAAAACAAATCAACCTTGTCTCGTGTTATATATATAACCCACAAACAATATACAAATCATATGTAAGATGCAAAATGAAATGTTGTGTGTTTCAGGGTGTCCCAAACCCTCAAGCAAAACACTCACTCTAACCATCACAAATAAATCACATCAGATCATCCCATCATTTATATTTTACATCTTACATTTTATATTGGATCATCCCATCATTCGATCCAAACAACCTTTTTTAACCCATTTTTGGGAAGTTGAACAAGTGCCAACCACACAATCTCTAACCATCACTTCATTTTATTAAAGATCATCCCATCATTAAAACAAATCAACCTTGTCTCGTGTTATATATATAACCCACAAACAATATACAAATCATATGTAAGATGCAAAATGGGAAAACATCATGCAGTGATAACCCACTATTATCCACTTTGGAGTGGCTGTGTGTATTATAATAAAATCTAATGAAAAATAGTTTAGAAAAGTAAATTTTATAAATTTACATATTATCAAAAATTATCATTTTTAACTCAGGCACAATCCCACAATACCTTGACAAATTTATTAATGAACAGATTTATCAAAGATAAAATTCTTTTGTTTTTTTATTGTTTATAGATGATGTAATGAAATATATAAAATATTAAACAGTAAATAAAAATTCTATAAGAGTGATAGGCCACTTAAATCACAAAAAAGGGTTTATCTAATTTAAAATAAATAGACAAATATAAAGCATGTTAAGAAAATTTTTGGTAATGGTAAGAGGTGTTTGTTCACCATGTAGCACTTCCTAAGACTAGGTGGAAATTTCAATAATCAGATCAGATAAATAAAATCTATTCACAAATTAGATAAATCATCTGGTATAGCTAATTCAATTTGTTTAGAATCTGGAATAGTTGATTTATAATTTAAAATATCATTAATAATAAATAATTATGATTAAATGTGTAACAATGAATTAGATAATTACCATTATTGTTGCTAATGATTGTAACTTTATTGGAATTTACAGGTTGAGAAAGATTTGTAAAATTCAATAATCTACTTGTATAAACTGCATTTGAATGAGCAGTTGCTGTAATTGTTGAAGGGTTGAAAGGTTTTTGATCTGCTTCCTCAAATATTTTTCTTATTTCTTTTAATTTGTAATAATTAAGTTTGTGTTTTAGGATTTCATTGATACCAATTGTGCCAACTGCATCTTTCCAAAAAGCAATAATTTTTAAAATTTCATCTGCTGTTGGTCTTTTTTCAGGATCAGCATCCATGCATTTGTATGCTAACTTAATATAACATTCTGGAGTATTATCTGA